CTGGCCTCCGCCGCCACCGCCACCGCCGGCGAAAAAGAAAGGGAAAGAGGAGGCACGGCCTCCCTTTCACTCCGTGCCCGCGCCGCGTCCCTCCTTCCCTTCCCTTCCCCCGCCTCTCGGCTCCGTCGGAAGCTACTCGGACGGGACGGCCCCAAACCGAGTGTTCTTGCCTACCAACCTTGGCGGGCCGGTTTGTAGTTTCAGCCCTTTCAGCCCGCGCTCCCTCGAGCTAAGCCTCTCTCTCTCTCTCTCTCTCGCTCTCTCTCTCTCTCTCTGTGTGTGTGTGTGTGTGTGTGAGAGATGTGAGCTGAGAGCACGTGTAGGGAGTTCTGTGCCTTCTGCCCCGATAAGGCAAAATCCACCCGTCCTGTGGACGGCAGATGGTCCATGAACGCCCGTGGCTGAGGAGCCCAAAGGCATTATTGGTGAGGCGCCTGGGTTATGAACCAGAGTGCGCATACTCTACTGTCTGTGACAGAAAGTTTGGTTATTGATCTCTAGCCTTCATCTGATGGGTGAAGAGGAGGGATGGGTTTCTAGGTCAGGGGAAATCCAAAGAAACAAAACAAAAAGAAAAACATGTCGCACTTTAAAGACTAGCCATTATATTTTAATGTGAGCTTTCGTGGACCAGTCCACTTCATCAGACTTATGGAAAAAAATGAAATGCTAGGTGAAACACTATGATGAAGTGGACCAGTCCATGAAAGCTCACATTAAAATATAATAGTCTTTAAGGTGCCACATGTTTTTGTCTTGTTTTGTTTTGTTTTGTTTCTTTGGATTTTGCCTGATACACTTGCACAGACTAACAAGGCTACCTCTTCTAAAAGATTAATTAAGTCAGGAGAGACTCCAGAAAAGGGTTTCCCAGCAGTCCTGAAGCCTGGCATTTCTCATTCTGTTCTCCACTCGTTTTTTTTTTTAAATGAGACCTGGTCTTATAGTTCTCAATCACATTGCAAAAGGATTAACTGATTTCTATCTGCTTCTATAAGTGAGGTCTGTTGCTGATTTTTAAACTGAACTCCAACTGACTCCAACTCTTCCTATCAGCAAGTAAAGCCCTATTGCCCAAGTCATGTGAGAGGCGATGGTGCTGTTCAGGATGGGCTGCAGATAATTGACAATACATTCAGGTATCAAGTCCAGGTGCCATATCTATTTTATCAATCAGTATCAACTGTGGCAGGTGAGCAGCACTCTTATGTTTTCTAATAATTGTCATCTGCAACATTCAGATTTCATAAACATTTTTTGTCCTTCCTTGTGACAATACTGTCCCCCATGCTGTTCAACATCTACATGAAACCGCTGGGAGAGGTCATCAGGAGGTTTGGGCTGAGGAGTCAGCAATATGCTGACGATACTCAGCTCTACCTCTCGTTTTCCACCAATCCAGGTGAGGCGGTTTCTGTGCTGAACTCGTGTCTGGACCTGATAATGGACTGGATGAGGGTTAATAAATTGAAACTCAATCCAGACAAGACGGAAGTGCTGTTAGTGGGTGCTTCGCCGGACAGGTTGGAGGGCCATTTCCCTGCCCTGAATGGGGTTACACTCCCCCTAAGGGACAGGGTCCGCAGCCTGGGGGTGCTCCTGGACCCCAGTCTAACTTTGGAAGCCCAGGTGGACTCGGTGGCCAGAGGCGCCTTCCTTCAGCTGCGGAAATTATACCAGCTACGGCCCTACCTGGACGAGCGGAGTCTCATGACAGTTACACACGCACCGGTAACATCTCGTATAGATTATTGCAATGCGCTCTATGTGGGGCTGCCTTTGAAGACGGTCCGGCGACTGCAACTGGTCCAGAATCGAGCTGCGCGGCTGGTGAGTGGTGGAGCCGCTAGAGATCACATCAAGCCAATTCTGTTCAATTTACATTGGTTACCAGTTGCTGCCCGAGCCCAATTCAAAGTGCTTGTTTTGACATATAAAGCCCTAAACGACTTGGGCCCTGGATACCTGAAGGACTGCCTCCTTCCATAT